GAAATTGACAGAAACAAACAAGAAAATGGAAACATTAATCCACTTCTCTTAATCATCCATAGACCAAACAGTCAAAAATATAAGAAGGTAACAGTAATTAAAGATACTGCTTTAATAAGAATACACTTAATTCTCTAACATAGAGAATATGTCTCCAGAATCCACAAAATATTTATAAAAAATTTATTGTGTAGTAAGCCCCCCAAATATAAGTGAATGTCTAAGCAGAAATTTTATAGGCCACATTTTCTGATGAAAATTCAATAAACATGAATCCAAATAACAAAGTCTAAATTAAAAAATTCAACCACCTAGAGACTGAAATGATTTCGGTTCACTTCTCTGCAAATGTTTTCCCTAAAATCACTGTATCAAAAGAAGCAGGGAATTAGCTTAAGTATCACATTCCATCTTGCTCAAGAGTCACAGGTATAAGAGCAAAGGAAGCCAAAAATTCTAGCCAAATTCTCCATTCCTTCCCTGGGGCCAAAGCCTACTACCATTGACAGTTTTCAAGGCCCAGAGACAGGAGAATAATATTCCTAAATAAATGGTTTGCTTAACAACCAGACTGAAACCATGCACCTAGCAATTTGGCCTCCTGTGAATGAAGAGCTCTTCACACAGTTAACTCAGTAGAAAAGATCAAATAAGGATCTATTCCAACACTTAAGTACAAACAAGCTAGAAGAAAATACCTTGCACTGTACTGCCCGACAGGAAGAGATCCCAGGTATTTATTTTATAGATTGTCTTAATAACACACAAAACTGAGAAATCCACCATCGCATAAGAATTATAAAAAATTTCAAAGAACCAATGGTTTATTCAGATTCAATGTAATTTTGTAATTCAAAATATAAAGCAACTGCTAAAAAATGTGAATGTGTTAGATATCTCAGGAATATAAATCTTAATAAGATGTAGTCAATTTCAGAGGCTTACAAACTACTATAAGAGACAATCTCCATTTTGGGGGTTCAGAATTGCTAATTAAACGATTTGAATCTTTCTTGTCCTTACTACTTTTTCGTCTGCTTTATCAGGTTTCAATAGGAATGTATCAGAATTTCCCATTAGGACTGTCAATCACTCAATGCTGCCTTTCAATTCCCTTAAAATTTTTTGGGACTAGGGGTATATTATAATCTTGGTGGGCTGTGTCTCTTTTTTCATTATACAGTTTACCAAAATATGTCTACTGATGTGTTTTTGCTTTAAATTCTACTGTTTTGACTCTCTGCAACAGGTTCATTTCCCCACCTTTACCCCCACCCTCCATCTCCCTTGGCCAGGGGAAGCTGAATGAAGACTGCGGCCCATGGGAAAGGAGAGGCAGAATGGCTGCCTGACAGCTTCTGGAATGGAAGGGAAATAAAGATCTTTTGTAAAAGAAAAGTTCTTAATTTTGATGAAGTCCAGCTGATCATTTTGTTTTCTATTATGGATCCTGCTTTCAGTGTCATGTGTAAGACCTCTTCATCTAGCTCTTGGTCCCAAAGATTTTCTACTCTGTTTTCTCCTGAAAAGTTTAAAGTTTTACATTTCAATCTCAATTCATTTTTGAACCAATTTTATACAAGATAGATGAGGTTTAGGTTGACTTTTTTGGTTTATGGATGTCTTGCTGTTCCAGTAGCATTCGCTGAAAAGGCTAACCTTCTTCCATTTTGTTTATATGTGCTTTTAATATGAAGACTCATTTGTATCTTCCTGCAATCTGGGAAATACTCTGGCATCATTATCTCTTCAAATGCTGTTTCTCCATGATTCCCTCCATTCTCTGCCTCACTAGTGGGAGGCTCTCCATCTTTTCTCCATGTCTCTTAACTCACTCATCTTTCATTCTCTGTATCTCTTTATCTGTGTTACACCCCAGGTTAGTAAGTGAAATCACTGGTACTATCATTCAACTCAGTCCCTCTTTAATTGTGTCCAGTCTAGAGTTTACCCCATATGATTTTTTGTTACTTTAACAAATACCTTTTATATTTCCAGTACTTTTAACTAGTTCTCTTCTAAATCCACCCCTTAATTCTCATCTGCTTGGTTTTCTTTCACGATTTCTTAGACATTTACCATGGACATTATTCCTTCATCTCTTTGATGATTTTAAACATATTTATTTGAAGTTGATTTTCAGAATGCTTACTGTATTTTCTTGGGAGTGAATTCATCTCCTGATTATTGTCTTTCTTAATACTTACTATATTCATTTGTTTGGGAGTCTTAATTTGCTAGTTCTTCTTGAATAGGAACAGTTTCTCTCTTTCTCTCTCTCCCTCCCTTCCTTCCCACACCTCCCTGTTCTTAAACAGCTTTGCACCATCCTCCATCCCCATGAGAAGCAGAGACCTTCACTCTAAAACCAGGTCTTATCCTGGCAGCTCAGGGTTCCCATCCCTTGGAAACACTAGGGCTATCGTAAAGCCGGTCATGTCACGGCCAGGTCCCAGCTGCACTGCTATCTCTATTCCCCCTCCGCCCCAGAAACACAACTTTGAACAAGCCACAGACCCAGGCAGCTTTGCTCAGTTTCTTTTCATAAGGAGGACAGTCCCATCCCAGTTTCTAGTTTCCAGCAGTGAGACTTCCACTCGTCTTGATCCAGGCATGAAGTTCCTTTGGTCTCCATACCCTCAAGCAGTGTTGTCCACTCTTTTGACATGATGGCATGCTTTGAAAATAACAGTATGTGTACCACACGTGGGTAGATGGATGAGACTTTTCCTCACCCAGAAATGACAGCTGGGGGCTCTGAGTACCCCAGGCCCTGCCTAGCTACCCGAAGCCTGATAATAGTCAATATTTCACACCCCAGTAAACTTATTCACAACATGTTCTCTGGGAAGTGCCATCCTGAAAGAACCGACTCCCTGCACACACTGCCTATTTCCATACCTGGTTCTGTTTTTAGTCTACCAGCATGTTTATCTTGTTACTAAAGTCCAGGTGTGTCAATAACATATGTCATTTATCACTGCTATATATTTGGAATGGAATACAGAGTTCAAAGCCTGAATTGAAAGGACCATCATAACAAAGTCCATGCTGTGCCCTCTGTTTTAGAACACCCTCCTCTCAACCTCTCCGCGTCACTTTTCCCGACTCCTTCAAGTTTCAGCTTAGGTGTCGCTTCATCAAAGCTGCTCTTCATGACTCCACTCTCACACCCGACTATGGGGTCAGATGTTCTCACAGAACCCGATTTCACATGCTATTGGAAAATACTACTATTACCTATTTACCTTAAACAGTAGGCTCCCTGGTGGCACGAAGCGCCTTTTTCATTTCTGTATGCCAAATCTAGCACTGTGCCTCCAGTAAGTATGGATTCATTGAATATTTTAATATCACCCATAATACTAGAGTAGGGAGTATAATGTAATAGAGAAGCTAGGGCTCTGAAGCCAGAGATCCCCAGGTTTTAATGCCAGTTCTAGCACTTACTGTGTGATTTAGGAAGGTTACTTAGTCTCTCTGAGCTTTAGTTTCCTCATCCATAACATTAAGTCACAGTTAGACTCTTGACTCTGTTCACTACTAGCTGTGTAACTCTGGGCAGCCCTGTGTGTCTCTTGGTCCCAGTGCTTGCACTAAGCAATATCTTAGTTAACTCAGACATGCACAAATTCCCTAGCACTTTGGGTCCTTTTCCTGTTTTCTTGCTTGTACTTCATGTTGAAAAAAAGGATAACACTATAGGTCAGCCTTGGGCCGAGCTGTTGAATCAACCCTTTTCTGAGCCTATGTGGTTGAAAAGGCTTGGCTGAAAGGTTTCTATTGCCACAGAAGCAGTAAAGATTATCTTTACATTCACAATTTATTCAGGCAAAGTGGAGGGTAATGTCATAAGAACTTGAAAGAATAATTTATTTTTTAAAAGATGTTATTTATTTTAGAAATAGAGAGAGAGAAAGCATGTGCATGAGCAGGGGGAGGGCCAGAGGGTGAGGGAGAGACAGAATCCCAAGCAGACTCCACCCTGAACCCAAAGCCTGATGTGGGGCTCAATCTCACGACCCTGAGATCATGACCTGAGCTGAAATCCAGAGTTGGATGCTCAACTGACTGAGCCACCCTGGTGCCCCCAAAGAATAATTTAAGTACAAATTAAATGCACCTCAAGAAGAAAGAAATAACAAAACTGACCACAGACTGGACTGTTCTAAGAGAAGAGAAAGCCTCCATAAGAATCCATTCCAAAATGAAGGCACCCACTATATTTTGACCCAAACCTTACTGCTCAAGAGAGCACAGGAAACTAGAAGAGGCTGGCTATCTGATGAGACATTTAAGTAGAGAACCAACATGGCAAAGCACTTTGATGTTCGGGTTATGATATACAGGCAGGAGTCTATTCAAGTGCTACACTTTCAATAAAATAATTTAATCATAAACAGAGCTTAGAAACTGAGGAAAAAACCATACTACTGACAAAGAAGACTGTAATTAACACCAAAAGAAAATAATACCAAAAACCTCAGCATCAAACAGACCAGAAGTCAAATCTTGATTCTGCCATCTCCCACTGGTGTGACCTCTAGCAAATATCAATTCTCTGATTCTGAATTTCCTCCTCTGCAGAATAAGGATCATGATGCTTACCTCACAGAGAGCCAGGAGAATTAAACAAGAAATTTGGTACATAGAGATCAGCATTAGTGTCCAACTCATGGTAGGTGTTCAACAAATATTAGTTCCTTCCTATGGCCTCCCATGCAACTTCAACCAGCAAGCATCATTAAAAGGGTTTGAAAACTGCTAAAATGAATTTCTTCATGTCTAGATTTACAAACTCATCAGTCTACTTCATAAGCAGATTCTCTGAGATAAGCCTGAGATACACAGACCCAAGATCTGGTGAGCGACCTGACCTGGATCTGCGTGGACGTCTGGTTCCCAGGCCAATGCCTAGAAAGACTGACTGGGCCCAGAATGCAGCAGGGGTGGCCAGAAGACAGCCAGAAACTAGAGCAGCCAAAAAGAGGAAGGATTACTTGAGCTTCGGCTCCCGTCCTTCACTTGTGTACTGCCAGCAGATGAGCCCGATCAGGTCCTGCACCCTGGCGCTGGCCATCGTCACCACGGTCATTGGCAGCAGTCTATCCTGGCTCGAGTGCAGGGGGAGGTAGACGTCGATCTTCTTGGTTGCTGTTGTGCCTACATGACCCTGTGGAAGGAACACATGCAGGAGAGTAAAGCACACAGTCATGGTTATGCAGATGCCACTGGGCCACAATGACTACCCGTCAGCCATTTCTCATCCTTTTGGCACAGACCTCCTTCAGAGCCTGAAATGGCCCCAAAGTGGAAACACTGTCTTGTTTTAAGGGGTTTTTTTTCCCCCTTTAATTTTCATTTTCTAATGGTCTAATAGATCCAGCTCTGCCTGCAGTAAGGTAAATGAGCACTACAACCAAAATAAACAAATTAAGAGTCGTGAGCAGACCTGATGTTTGGTGTCAGGAAATGTGCTTTGCTACTTATATGGTGTGGCCTTGGACAAGTCACCATGAGACCCTGACATCAGCTGCTCTCCCTGAAAATTATACCACTCCTTGAGACTTTGGAATTAGCTGCATGGGAGGCTGCCATACTCCATGTGTGAGGAAGCATTTAGGCCTGCAGCACTGGAACCAAGGGCTTGCCTTCTCAGAGCCTAGGGGTGCTAATTCCCTTATGCAGCACACCTATTTATTTCAGTCATCTGCATTAAAGTTCAAGGATCCTTGGTCTTACATTATTGTCCTAACAACAATACCCAAACTGCCCTATACTCAATTCCTCCCACACACTTATTCTCCCTCCTGAAACTTCCACTACCCTCTGAAACTCCTGCACTAATCAGCAAACTTCCATGAATCACTTTTTTTTTTTTAAGATTTTATTTATTTATTTGAGAGACAGAGAGTGAAAGAGAGCATGAGAGCTTAGAAGGTCAGAGGGAGAAGTGGACTTCCCATGGACCTGGGAGCCCGATGTAGGACTCGATCCTGGGACTCCAAGATCATGACCTGAGCTGAAGGCAGTCACCAAATGAGCCACCCAGGCATCCTAAATCATTTCTTTTATTTAAATATATATTTTTTTAAACATTCCTTCTACCGCTTTGTCTTAATTGAAACTTGCTGGTCACTGAGGATACTGCTTCCTCTGCTGTCCAGAAGACTGTACTGTATTTTTCTTTTTTAAACCCAAGTCCTCAAGGCCAGGATGTTGAATAGGTATTCTTGTCCCCACTATTTCTAAACTATTATTTCTCCTTTCTTGCAAAAATCCCTGTTGCTTTGAGACCCAAGCCCTCCAACTATACTATCCTTTCCTCCTATTTTTTTTGTTTCTGTTACCCACCAACCTTCCAGGTATGCTTCTTTCTCACTGAGGAGTCTTCTTTCCACCCCAACAACTATCATCATTCTTGGCAATCCCATCTAAAGGAAAAATCCATGTAATACCCAAGTGTCTCAATCCCTAGACCATGTCATCCCATGTGTTTTTATCTCTTCTCCCTTCAATCACTTATAGTGGGTACACAATTAGAACATCTATTCAGTAACTATACTTTAATATACTTTCATCTTACTTCTTCAAGTACTTCCCCAAATTCCTCAACACACAATTTACTGATCCACCACTATGAATGATGTCACCATTATTTCCCAATAACGCCCTCGAGATTACATGATCAACCACTGTAATCATTCCTTTGTAAATACAGTTTTAATACTCTTTTCCTCCATGGGACTCAACTGGCAGAATGCCAACCTTGGATAAACCCAAACCTCTGTACTCCCCAACCAAATACTGCTGGAGAAAAATCCTGTAACTGCACAGATTGTTTTGACTTTAAATTCATGATGATAAACCTCAAATACTCAACATTGGATAGCATGCCTATTATAGCTCCTGATCCAATCTGCACCCCATGCATGCAAGACCACCCCTGCATAATTTTGCTTCTCTCCTCAAACTCCTCATGAGCCCGCCATGACTTCAGCTCCTATCCTTTGCTCATATACTGCCAACAGATGAGAAATATTCTTATTCTTCATTAAGAAAAGAAGACCTTTCAGAAAGGAATTCTCTTTTCCTCCCATAATTAAATTCACAAACTTAACCTGAATTTAACCACATACACCTCCTACACCAGAGTGTCACTCATCGCATTAAAGGTTACTCTCTCTACTAATATTCTGTGCCCCCTTGGCTCTTACTTTCACAAGGACTTTAATCCTTTACTTACTTTACCCTTCTCCTACATTATCACCCTCTTACTCTTTTGGCTTCCATGATATACACTCTTGGTTTTTTCAGTGCTCTCTGGTCTCTCATTCTCAGTCTCCTTTGCAGATTTCTTCACCTCTATAGTCTCTGTTTGTTAGTACTCCTTGGCCTCTAGATTGGGCTCTCTTTTGTCTCTCTGTATATGTCTTCCCTAGGTATTTTACAACCCCAAAGCTATAGTACAATCTACATTCTGTTGACACCCAAATCTTATCTTCATCTCAAACTTCTCCCTGGAATTCCAAATTCATACATCAAACCGTCTATACAATACGTAGAAAAGTATCACGAACTTTGAAACTCAAGTTCAAATCTGAACTTTTCATTATTCCTCACTCCATTCCACCTCAAATAACAACACTCTCCCTCATTTCAGGAAATGCTACTACCACTAATCCAGCTGCTTAAATCAGTAATAAATTCTTCTTTCTTCTTCCTGTTTTTTTTTTTTTAAAGATTTTTATTTATTTATTTGACAGAGAGAGATCACAAGTAGGCAGAGAGGCAGGCAGAGAGAGAGGGGGAAGCAGGCTCCCTGCTGAGCAGAGAGCCCGATGCGGGACTCGATCCCAGGACCCTGAGATCATGACCTGAGCCGAAGGCAGCAGATTAACCCACTGAGCCATCCAGGCGCCCCTCTTCTTCCTGTTTTCTACCTACTCTCTTAGTAAGTTCTAGTGTCTACTGCAAAAATGTATTTCCATAGAGAAAAAAATAGTCTTTTCAGCAAATGGGACAACTGGATAGCCACACACAAAAGACTGAATTTAGACCCCCTACCTCACATCATATACAAATATTAATTCAAAATGCATTGAGATGCCTAGGTGGCTCAGCCAGTTAAGTTCCTGCCTTTGGCTCAGATCATGATCCCAGGATTCTGGGATCCCACATGGGGCTCTTTGCTCGGTAGGGAGCATGCTTCTCCCTCTGCTTACCACTCGCCCTGCTTGTGCTCTCTCTCTCTGACCAATGAATGAATAAAATCTTTTTTAAAAACATGGATCGAAGAGCTAAGTTTAAGGTTAAAACTGTTAAACTTTTAGAAGGAAATATAGGTGTAACTTTTTCACAACCTTTGGTTAGGCAATGATTTCTTTAACATGACACCAAAAGAAGCAACAAATAAAATAAACTGGACTTCATAAAAATTGAAAACTAGTGTCTCAAAAGCACTATCAAGAAAGCAAAAAGACAATCCACAGAATAGGAAAAAATATTTGCCAATCATATGGCTGACAAAAATTTAGTACCCAGAATATATAAACAGTTCTTATGACTCAACAATAAAAAGACAAACAATCCAATCTTTAAGGACTTAATTTATTTATCTGAGCGAGAAAGACAGAAAGAGCAGGGGGAGGGGCAATGGGAGAGGAAGAAGGAGAATCCCATGCAGACTCCCCGGCTGAGTGTGGAGCCTGAGGATTGTTCTAATAAATTCTTGACCTCCTATACTCTTACCTACTTCAATTTGTTCTTGAAACACAAGCTGGGTTTTTTTTTTTTTTTTTTCACTCAAATTGGGTATTACACCTCTGCTTAAATTCCTTCAATGAGTGCTCCCATGATACTCTGAATAAAATCCAAATTTCCTGCAGTGTCCAACAAAGCACTGCATGATCCGACCTCTGCCTAACTCTCCAACATCATTTACTGCTGCTCCCTAGCCTGCTTGTCATAGCTCAGCTACGCCAGCCTTCTAGAAGTGCCCCCAGTGTGTGTGTGTGTGTGTGTGTGTGTGTGTGTGTACCTGTTTCTCCCACTTTCTAGAACACAGCAAATGTTATTCACTACATCTAGAAGGCTCTTTCTCATGACGTTTGCATTCTCTAAAGTACGAGTCTGGGCAGGTTACTTAATCTCTCTGTTCCTGCATTGTCTCATATGTAAAATGATAATGACAGGACCTACCTATCAGAGAACTCTTGTGAGGATTATTATTAGTTATTAATATTGTTATTATTAAAGGATCAGCTCATATGACAACTCCTCAGAGAAGCCTTCACTGATAATCCTGCAGAAAGCCCCTTCCATAGTTACTTTCTTACCCATAACCTGTTCATTTCCTTCACAGCACTTAACAATTGGATATTATGTATTTATGTACACCTTCAGTGTATGCCTTCCTCACTGGCCTTTGACCTCCTATGAGAGCAGCCATAATGTCTGCTTTGTTGACTTGTCTATACACAATGGCTAGCACTGTGCCTGGTGCACAGACGGCTCTCCAAAAAAATCTGTTGAACTATGGAATGAATGCACGGATGACTCAAAATGCCTACCAGGACAACATGGCAATAACTCAATAAATGTTAGTTTCCCCCATCCATCCATCTTCCTCTATGAGTCTGTTTCCTGGTAGTGGATAGAGATGGAGGTACTTGAGAAATCAAGTGGTTCCATCTTTAACATTCTAACTCTAGGATGAAAAAAAAAAAAAAAAGATCAGAACTAGGGTAAGGAAATACATAAAATCAGCTTTTAAAACTTTTAGAGAAATTCCACTTCTCATATGACCTAGAATCTAATATTAGATTTACTGACCTTTTTTTAGTCTTGCCTACCATCAAACAAATAATAAAAAAAAGTAATTCTCGGGGCACCTGGGTGGCTCAGTGGGTTGAGCCTCTGCCTTTGGTTCGGGTCATGATCTCAGGGTCCTGGGATCAAGCCCCATGTCAGGCTCTCTGCTCAGTGGGGAGGCTGCTTCCCCCACCCCTGCCCACCTCTCTGCCTACTTGTGATTTCTCTGTCAAATAAATAAATTAAATCTTAAAAAAAAAAAAAGTAATTCTCTTACAACAATGCTCTTTCTCTCTCTCTCACGCCTGCATGCACAAAGGTACCATGCATGCTTTTCAGCTGGGAAAACAGTAATTCCAA